GCGCAGCATGTAACACAACACATGCTTCAAATAACTAGTGAGAAGCTTTTACGGCATCATGGAAAGTGGCTGTTCAGCCTGTCAATGGAAAAAGGCGCTGTAAAATTTACGTACATGGAATAACCTTCTAGAAGGATGTTAGTGTCCAAGGAACACTTCAACTAGGTCTACAGCTAGAAGACAGTCGGCCTTCCTCCAACCTGAGCATGAAGAGCTAGTAGGCACCGGTCCTCGAAATTATACTGAGGTTATAAAAGTTGTCTCTAATCGTTAGTGAGGTGAATCAGCAGGATCTGAGTGGATGCCTCCGAAAGTGTCTAAATACGGTGACAACAAATAATAATTGGCTAGATTGACTGAGGTACTAACTGATGTATAAGAATCCCACTCAGCTCCACAGGATTGACGTAGATCACTGATTATCCTAGTTTCTAAGACTGGAAATCAATCTTTCGGTGATAATTGTAGAATGGCTGACTAACACAATTTAATTTATACGATGTTGATGTTGTTGAGTCCACGCATAATCTTACGACGACGAAGGGTAAAGCAAACCTGAGAAAACCAGGTATTCTATCGGCCCATAGGAGTGTGAACTAATTACAACTTCAGTTCAAGGGAGGTTCTGGGGAATTGTCCTACTTATTGGCGCTTGCTGATTTCTTCACTTGAAGACGGCTTTGGACGATAGAGAGGTATTTTGATAGACCTTGACTGTTAAGGGAGTTGTGATATCTCTTTCTCACAGACCGAAATTCCTGCAACCAGGAATCAATACAAAACACGGCCTGGTGATTAAAAAGAGTTGATACTTCCTGATTGTAAGGACACACAATAGCTGAATTTAACATATCCATGACTTAATAGTAACGTCTATGATAACAGAATTTAGTGACAGGGATTCATTTCTCCAATGAAAGTGTACTTTGACTGAGTATCTAGACAACTCAACTATCCCAGCCACTTACCAGTGAGTACAAGTGTGTATCACTGCAAACTTAGCTGACACAATATAACTGTAAACTTCGACTACACAACGTGGCTCTACTTCGGCAATCAATGTAAACTCAATACAAACCTAGGCGTGAGAGGACAAACTCTGTCGAGTATTACTGTGGTGGGAACTGTCTGCTAGCCAAAAATGTAGACAATTTACGTCAACGTTCTTTCTCCAAATCAGGGTCATGAGAGAAAAAATAACAAGGCTTAACCTTGACAAAATTACCCGCAAATAACAGCAGAGTGAAAGTGTGGAGATATGATTCACAGATATATGACTTGATTTTCTGAGAAACGGCCACAAAGAGATAACAGAATAACCTTCAGCAAGAAAACAACCAGTCAGAAGAGGTTGCTTCGCCGCTAACAATAACGCTAATAATAATGCACATAAAATCTATAAATACCTCTTGATTTTCTCAATAAACGATCTGTTGCCTAGCCTTAGTATTCTGTCGTTACGTTGCTACTCAAGGAATGTATTAGGTGGTTGGAGGCAATCGGCTCGCATAGCTCAATGGTAACATCTATGATTGCAGTACTGGGTGACGCGGGTTCGATCCTCTGAATGGACATGAGTTCCTCCAACTTTGCAGGTACACCTTCCTGACAAGTGCCGACTAACACTAAACCTAGGTCCAAGGTTTCCTGCCCATTGCCTCCAACTATCTAATATAAAACAATTCATAGTGCATAGTGATGGTGAGCCATATTGCAAACTTAACTGATAAAATTCAGTCTGCACAGAAAACAGGGCTACGCACATTGCACTAGCTACTGACTACTGTCCAATCAAAGATTAAAAAACATGTTAGACTTACTGCGAGACAGTATATAAAAGGCTCTCTCTATTTGTGATATCATGTTTTTTTGTCACTTTTACTAAGGATTTACTATTTATTTACCCATTCACTTTCTACCGCCGTTATTATTAGCGTAAACACTAACTTATTTATAATGTCACACTGTAATAATCAAGGCACTTCAGACGAGATCCTGTAAGTACGACAGACAGACGCCGTCTGAACTGAAAGCACCAGTGACGCTCATTGTCCCCACCATAATTCGACTTCAGTATTGGTTATCCTGATCTACGTTGATCCCTCAACAACAGAAGAACCCCGTTGATACAGGGTATATAGTCGGTCTAGTTGGAATATCTCGAGAAAAACTCCCAGTGTTCGCAACTATGAAGCGTAAGGTGACGCTCCATAACAGAGCTATGCCGACATCGATTTTAAGGTAAATAGCTTAAGTGGTTTAAACGTACTAATCACTCCAGTTATTTGGTATGTCGTGTTTGACATAAAGGATTGATCCTCAACGAGACCTGATACAAAATGTTAGCATGTTGGTTGCCAATATGTGTCACCTTCGCAATCAACGTAATATCCCTCTGTCTATCAAAAAATGTTTTGCACCTGGATGTCCCATCCTACTCTAGGGTTGTGAAATATGATCACTGAAAGTGGAAAATATTCAAAGACTCAAGGTATCTGGTAACAATTTCTTGTGTTAGATGGAGAAATGTAACCAAGTGTCGTCGGAAAATAGGGGAAATTCAGTTGATAGGGTGGTGAAGTTCCATTGATTGAGATGGTGGCAAGCTAAGCCGTCCTCTTCCTTAACCAACAATGTTTTATCTGATCAAAAGCTGTAGAGAGCCATGCCAAAACATGCGAAGATTACATGAAGTTCTCGACCGTTGGTTTGAGCCTTGAAGTAAGGCGAAGATTGCCGGGTTGGGTTCTTGAAGATTACGAAAGCCAGAGATTGAAGATATGGCTCCAATGCGGTCTGTATACAACTAAGAGACTTTCGAGGTTTCAGGATGAAATGATCTGGTATACGGTTTGAACAGAAGTGAGAACATTGTAGATTGCAAACTTAAACAAAACAGTTGGTGTCGGGATAACATGATATTAGAGAATATCTATGATCACCCACCTTGATATTATTACCACTAACCAAAACAAATATACGTTGAATGTGTCTTAATTCATAGTGAATTCAATCTTGATTAAATTTTTATTCTAAATACACCACAAATAATGTAATGAACAAGAAGCCTTGCAAATTAATAAAACAGCTACCACAGAATCTCTCTATAAATAAAAAGTTAAGCAAAATTACTAGTCACTTTGAGTTATCCTACTTTTCTTTTATGTTTGGTTGCCAAAGTTGAAAGCAATTTTGGCAGAGAAAGGATTATATCAGAACGAAATTAATAGTGCTTCAGAAGTGACTTAATAACTGTCCTTTTTTTTAGAAATCTTCAGGAATGTGTCTGCTACCAACTATGTTACTGCATACTGAGCATTGCGCTGAACTCCACATACTCAGACAGGAATAGTCACCGAGTCTTTGAACACAGACTACAAACCTGGCTTCTGCCGCTATTTATTTTTAAAACCAATGAGGACTGACACATGATTAGTTTCTGCATATGTACTTAAATAAGATACGTAAATGCAATTTTATGGTTTTCTATTCACTGGGGAAAACAAACCTTAAACTAGTGTTCACATGTAATTTCACTTCACAGGCACGTTACTAATTGTAATTTTGACTGAAAATAATGATAATATAATAAATAATATTAACAGCTTTATTCCAAACGGTATTTGTGGTACAGGTATGGAATTTTCAGCGTGCATTACAATATATTGCACCTAATTACCTCATAAATTTTATAAGATTTTTACAATCAAAAAAGTAAATAAATAAAAGGAACTACCATATGGGAAAAATATCTGAAGATGATACTACAATCCCATTTTCCCAAAACATTTAATTAATATAATCTGAGCTTTCTTACGTGTGGTTGGTGGTAGCCTGCTTAAAACTTGGGCTACCGAAAACGACTTCCATCAATATATTGCATAGAATTTCTCTTATTCAGTTTGATTAAATCTATTAAAATACGACCTCTAATAGTATTATCAGTTACTCTGGCCAGTATTTATAAAACACATTTACAGCCTATTGATTCACAAGTTTCTACTAAACATGAGAAGCAGCATTATCCTCGATGGCAGCTCATCCCAATACAACGAGATAACCGTTCCTTGGTTCACAAAATGCACTGCTGAACTTTCTGTTAATTGGCATTCAACAAAATGTCGTCTCTTGCTCAAAGGCGAAAAAAAAGAGATATCATAATCATGGATTGGTTTGAGCTTCGAGTCAGATAGATAGAACCGTGTGTCCCACGATCTGCTACTGTCAGTTAACCGTTTTTGGACAGTATATCCCTCAGCAGATCTAGTTCTTTTACATAAAACAAGCACTTCACAATAATAATCATAGAGTGAATCCTTGACCAACTACTACTGTTACATCAATCAATGAGACAACCTACCAACGCTTTTAGCTTTCAGTAATACTGTGGTGGTGTGAAACAGACAATGTGTCCAACGGAATATTATTCTCATATTGATAAGAATCATTGTATTTGTTAGTGTTAACGTCTGAATACTATTCTCACACTTCAATATTGTATTAGCAAAATGGAATACTGTATAGGCATATTTGAACAATCCATTTCATGTCGTTTAATGTAAACCAAAATCACAAGCTCAGTGATTGGTTAAAGAAAATAAACAGCGGTTTGATAACTTGAAAATATACCATGGCTTCCGTGTCTTGCCTTCTGTTGTTGTTACACTACTATTAAGCTAACCATAGAAGTACTTTAGAATGTCGCTGTCACCCAACTATCCCACGTACACTGATAAAGTAATCCTTTATTAAATGTGTATCACAACATTTAATTTAAAATCAACCAAAATCATTTAAAACCAAGAAACGAAAGAAAGTAGCAAAAGTATTTTTGTTTTGTTTTTCACAGGATTTACAATCAATCAATGAAACAATCAGTGGAAAAAAATGCAAATCAAAAAGGCTTGTGATAATTCATACTTGGATCCAAAAGTAAACTCCTGAGACACTTGAAAGACCGTGTGCATCATACCGCCTATTCATTCGAGAAAGCTTCACAGTTACAATAGATTATGAATCTGAATTCGATGTGATTGACTGCGTGGACGAGCAACTATATGAATAAAGTTGTCAGGATAAGACATGTGTTCACTTATCCATTGCATTGAGGTTTCGTACGGTACTGTTATTCCATGGATAAAAAATAAGTAATCTAAATAGTGAAATAGTGAGAAAAGAAAAATTGTGATAGCCAACGCATTACAAATGCATTTAGTTCAGTTTATTTTTTTTATTTTTTATTTTTAATTACAGCTTGATTCCACACCGTATATTTGGTACAAGTATGTAACTTTCAGCGTGTGATATCAGTAGCCCAAATTTTGCAGACCGGTCATAGATACTAAGTGTGCGTCGGCAGGGGATCGAACCCCGGCCCATGTGCATGATTAGCGAGAGTCATAACCAGCGCTGTGCCACCGACGCACAAATCTTGTAATTAGAAGATTGGACACATGGTTTGAAAGTGATTGTTGTTGTTGTTGTTAATTTAACACAACCAAAATATTCACAAACTGTCTGCATTTTCCCTATAGTGTTAACTCATAAATCGCCAAACTACTACAGAAAACTAGTGAGTGCGGTTCATTCCCTTTATTATTATTTTATTCCTTTGCGTTCCCAATGGAACGGGGTTTCAACCTTGAGCTTTGAAGTTCACCATAATTGGGAATACCATCGGCAATAATAGGCAGCCAGCTTGTCTTATTCCTGTCTTCCCTACAAAAACTTCGCTGAATATTCCATTGTGGATAGTCTGAACCATATCATTATCATGTAGCCAGTTGTTGAATGAGGTTGATAAGGATTTGGCCACTGCACACCATAGTGTTGAAGTATTTTCCGAATTACTTCTCAGTCAATACTGTCGAAGGCCTTTTTGAAGTCGATGAAGTTGAGGTAGGAAGAGGTTTGACGGCCACTGTAAGCTTTGTTCAATGACGATGGGTGGAGTTGCAGTTTGATCAGCAGATGACTTACCCTTTCTGAATCCAGCTTGTTCCAGGAGGAGTTTTGCACACAGTGGATCTTTTATTCTGTCCAGGATGATGCGACTTAGTATTTTACTTGGCGTGGACAAGAGCATTATGATCTTTGTTTTTCACAGGGTGAGGTTGCTAACCTAACGCTCAAAATTCCCTTATTACCAGGTTTACTACCGGCGACGCGAGGTTAAGGAGTGCGTCAGCCAGGAATTGAACTCAGGACTATGTGCGTGGGTGGCGAGTATTCTACCATTCAATCACCGACGCATAAGGTACTGTGTCTGGCAGCACATAGTAATCACCTTTTTAGTCTGCTAAAAAAGTACCACACACGCATCACCTTCCAAAAGAATATTTAATTTTTAGTGTTTCAATTTCTTTGGCAAATGTAACTTGAAAATTATTCTAAAGAAATAAACACCGCAAAATTACTTTCAGGTTTTGCGTTTTGTGTTCTTGAATTTTCGTGAGACTGGAACAGAATTCCGATAGCATCTTGGAGTGAAGTTAGCGAACCATCGTCATTCAATGGACGAATAAGTTTCTGAATAAAACTTGACGATGTACAACTTGAATTCCCAGTAACACAGTAAAGACGACAAGGTATGTAACGAAATGTCCTATGCTTTGTAGACAACATGTCCTGATTTCCAAGTAATTTCTCATCTGACTCTTCAGAAGAAGGTATTTCTCCCACCATGAGTTCTAGGAAATACAAATAAATAGAGATAGGATGTTTACGTAGTATAATGCATGCATAGTTAAAGAGAAAACCCTCATTATTTCTTACAAATACATCGGCATCAGTTTACATATAGTATCATGTCCAGGGGTTATCCAATTAACTAGAGCAAAACTTCAATCTTCAGCAGATAGAAAGAAAAATGTGCTATAAATGGTCAAACAGAATACAACATAATGCCAAAGCACAACTCTGATCCTCATCATCATCATGTCTGCTGAAGTTAGCGAATTAGTTTCCATCCACATTTTAGTAGACCACTGTGATTCAACTAATGGAATTCAGAAATCACAAAGTCGACAAGATACTAAATATCTTGTAGATTAGTAAAGATCATGTTTTCTCGCAACTCCCGTAACAGTAACTCATAATAAAATCAAACAAAATCTAACCAGGACGGCACTGAATACATGAATGTTCGAAGACAGCATCATTATTCATTGCTTGAGTTGTGAGTATATCATAGGAATTCAGTAGCACATTACCATAATATTTTGTTCTCAGGTATATTTCTTAGCTGGCTCTACAAATGCTTCACAAGCTTTCATTTGATCTTCCCATGATCTCCGCTATCTAACACTTAGACGCCCAACTCTTCGATTCGGGATTCACTCAGGCGTCTGGCATGTGATGTCAGTACTCAATGACCTCTTCAGCATACGTTCCGTCTCTGCACATTCGATCGCTGCACTGCAATAGTTACTTTATCCTTTCCACCCCACCATCTGATCTGCAGTATTGAGTGAAGTCAGTTGTTGATAGAAATCCGTAATAGCCTGTTCTATACACTTATCAAGACACGTGCGCCAAGTCTTTGAGCTACACATGACAAGTTATGTGACATTAGTGGAGAACATCCGGAAATTGTTCTTTATGCTGGGTGGTGTGGATCTCCGCATTGACTTCAGAGAAATGAAGACCTGTCAAGCTTTTCGGACCCCGTTTGGATTTGACATCATCTGTGCTGTCTGTAACTGAAAGGATGTTTGATTACACGATTTCAGTATGAGCTGACATCAGTTAGAGAACCACTGGGAAACCTGATGGTACTAGGAAACTGTTTCGTCTTAGCTTGGGAATCTTCAGCAGTATGCACCCACTGACAGGATTCGAAACCAGGACCTTGCAGTTACAAAGCAAGCTCGTAGACCACTAAGCCACTGGGACCCGATCCAATGATCAGCCGATGAATCCCAACTTCTGCCAATTCACGACATAGCGCGACCGCTAGACAATGTCTTCGGCGAGTATTTGTTTTCACACTCGACCTGTTGTACCCTACTGGTCTCAACTTCCCACTAGAATCCCAGGTAACTACCTAACTGAATAGGGCCAGTCACTAGTGAGCATCCTATTAATATTCAAGTAATGGTTTTCTAGGGATTTGATTGATTGGTTACAGGATTTCATGTCAGCTCATGATGAAATCCTGTAACCAATCAATCAAATCCCTACAAACCAATACTTGAAAGGGTGTTGTCCAGGTAAGTATAAACGATGAATTCCTTTAGATTTCTTCAACATTGTCAGTGTCAACTGAGTGGTATGTGTAATCTGATTTGCAAACAAAATTCAAAAACAAAGTATCTCCCGCACACTAAACGTAATATTGATGCTGACAAGTCACCATTGTCAGAAGACAAACAGACAGAAGACTGTCTTCAATCTCAGCGGCTTATGTGTTTCTGTGAGCTGAATCTTTGCATTCAGAAGGAAACGTTTGTTACTTCCATTCCACCAAGGTGGCATCCTTTACTTTGTTATCTGTTTTTATAGCTATTTTACTTCATTTGTACTTAGTCTTAATTCGTTTCAGTACTATTACCATGCTCTCCCATTCTGTCTGATAACTAATTGTTTATATTGTATTATAACTGAATCGTAAGCAATTCCTTCTACCCTTCAGCTGTTTGAACGTAACCTGAAAAACACTTTAAGCATATGCTTTGCTATGTACAACCGATTCATTCAAATTTCCCCGCATATTTCCCCCATAATACATATGTATGTAATACTATGTCTAAAGTGTTCATCTCAGGGGTCCTAACAAAATTTTGGTGAATTGATCAAATCATGCTTGACTAACCTTTGTTCTTTTATTGTGTTCTCATTGTAGTGCACTATACAATCAATAGTCAGTCAATAATACAACTAAGAAAATACTAACTTTCCTAGCGTGATTGATTTCAAGATTGATCACGAACCGGTTTTTCAGTTAGAAAGGCATTAAACAACCAGAAAGTACTGGAAATTTGTTTCGAAACAGTTTTAAGTGATCAATCTTGAAAACTAAAATTTTCTGCTATATAGCAAATATACAATGAAGACAACAAATTTCACTGCACAGTCTACTAATCTATAATGATGTTTTTTTTGTTAGCCTTCATCCTCCGGGATAGGCTATATATAAGTATTGGAAAAATAAAACAACCGTATATCAAAGCAGTTTACAGATATGAAGTTAGTAAACTGAATTCAAAATAATTCATAATCATATCAATTTAGTCAAACGTTTTCACAATTTGTCTTATATGTATATATTTCCTCTCTTTCTGCCTCTCCAACTTCCCTTTGTTGTTTGTTGCCACTTTCCGTATATCCGGTGTACAGGTGTTGCGACATTCCGATTGCGCGTGTGTAGTAATGAATCAATAAACATAGCTTCAGTGATTAACCTCTCTCCTTTCACCTAACTATATTACTTTTTAATACTCTTAACCTGTCCCACCCACCCTATTTTGTGATTACATGCAAGTGAATGCAGTGCAATGGCTGAACTTTTTTCTAAGTTATTTAACTTAGCAGGGTCAATTATTCTACGTCTAGCTAGATTTTTACATTCCAATAATCTAATTGACCCTGATGTAATTGACCTCAGGACCATTCATTACATGGTATTTGGGAAATTATATTATTTTTCCTAATTGGATCTGTCGGGTCTTTAAGCCGACAAAGTTGATTTCTGAGAGAGTTGTTTGGCTTAAATTCCACCCTAATTCCAGTGTCATTGAGGATTCCACCTAAGGCCTTGGACGCCGGCAGTGCTACAGATGCTTTGAATTCTGTATCATTTTCGTCGCCTTTATTACTAGTTTTAGTTTTTCTATGGTTCTTCATACATTTCTGAATAAATTCTGGTGGATAGTTATTCACTAGTAATATTTTCCTTATTCGTTTGATTTCGTTATTTAAATCTTCTGGCCTACTAGTTAGGCTCTTGGCCCGATTACAAAGACATTTAACTAAACCTATCTTTACCGATACAGGATGGGATGAAATAAAGTCTGAGTATTTATTAGTGTGTCGGTTTCTTACGAGTACTACTACTTAACCCACCATCGCGTTTTAGTTTTATTCTACAATCTAGCACGGCCAACTCACCCTATTCATTTTCTAACTCAGAATTGAATTGGATTCTGTCTACTACTGAGTTTATTTGTGTGAGAAATTGAGCGATATGTTGAGATTCCAACACGGTGAACGTGTCATCCACATATCTCCACCATAACATAGGAACAGGATTATACGTTTTAAGAGGCTTATTTTGCCAACTATCCATAATTATGCCTGCCACTACTGGGGATAGGAACCGATTGTGCAACAAATAGGCAGGAAGAAATGGAGATGGATTGGCAATACTCTGAGGAAACCATCAAGTGGCATCACTAGACAAGCCCTCGAGTGAACCCCAAAAGGGAAACGGTGAGTTGGTCGTCCAAGGGTGACTTGGAGGAGGTCATGTAAGGAGGAGATGAAAGCATGTGGGCAGACTTGGAGCCAGGTGAAAACTCTAGCAGAGAACCGAATGCAATGGAGACGCGCGACTGAAGCCCTATGTTCCTCTAAGAATTAAAGGAAATAATAATAACTACTGGGGATATTGGTGATCCTATTGCCAACCCCATTCATTGGCTTTTATAGTTTATTTTGAAATTTGAATAAAGTGGAGGTTAGACATAACTGAACACCTAATATTATTTCATCAGCCATGAGGTATGTGAAAGGTTAACATATTTACTAAAATATTCGAGATGACGACATAACAGAAGAACACAGTTAAAGTTCATCAGCGGGAAAAAAATGTATCAGAATCGGGTGATGATGAATAGTAGGCATAAAAACTGTAGATTCTTCTCCGTGAAATCCTCACAAGTAAATCGTTTTCATATTTCTGACCACTAGTTCAATCATCGAGTATAAACATATCGCTTTGACGCAACACGCAGCATTCCAACACCATGTCACATCGGATATCATATCTTTCTAACCTGACTACTTGAAATCCAAGGCTTTGCGTGTCAGTTTTCTGCACAATTCGAGTAAGTAGCAGTGTGGAAATGTTTTGGGTGTTCCTTAAATATACATCACATAGTGAGAGATAAAAAATTGTGGTACACAATCTCCGGTTAGACGTGATATCCGACTGGATGTAGACCAAAGGCAGGTGTGCTGCTCAGCTGTTCGCTCTGCCCTCCTTTTTGGCTGGCTATCAGACATGGCCGTTGGGAATGGAAGACATGAAAAGGCTGGCTGTCTTTGATCACAGGTATCTGCGTTCTATCCTCCGTATGAAATGGTATAATAAGGAGAGCAGTATTGAGGTTAGGGTTTGGTCGAATGCTAGGTAAGGAGGGGAAATCAATAGACGAGGTTGTGAAGTTACATCGATTGAGAGGGTTAGGGCATGTGTTACAAATGCCTAGTCATCGCCTTCCTCAACTGACGGCCAATGTTAGCTGATATAGGATGCATCAGGTTGGAAAAGAGGCAGCTAGCGGTGGTCGAACCGAAACATGGCCTCACGAGTTAACCAAACCCATAGCAGTTATTTTAAGCCAATCACGTGGGAGGTGTAAACTGCTGTCCGGTTGGGGTCCTCGAGATGGCAAAAACCAATGAAGGCTGGAGACAATTTGTGATATGACTCAAAATCGTGCCCGATGATGGTGCAGACGCATTCACTCTATGTAATTTATCATATCCAATAAAATCCTATTGTTTTTCCATATTACTATTCTGTTTGTCACATATTTCTGTTAATTATTTCTGTCTATTTTGAATCTCTCTTTAATCTCTTCTCTTGCTTTGTGTGATAAATAGAGTGTGGCAACTCTAACTGCTACACATTTGTGCGAAGTTCTACGTTGAAACCACTCAGTCATATACACCATTTTGTGTGAGATTTTACAATGAATCTTTATGTTTATTGTTTATCTCCGCATTCACGAGGTCCGATAGAAATAAGCGAATAAAATAGGAATGTAATTTCTGCGTCAGGCTAGAAAATATGTTTAAGTTGTATAAGGGTTAACGATATTGCCATCACCGTTGGATAAAATAACATATACAACAAATATAACCTAAGAACAAGGAACACCAATGTCTCTTATTGTTAATGTTAAAATTTCTTCTCAGTAAACACAATTTACCATTAGTAACGCTTCAACCATACGGCGATGCAGTTATATACCTGAGTGATGAAGTTTTTGTTCGCCTACCGAATGTAAAGTAAAAGGTAATGTTGCGTAATCAGGCTTAAGAAAATACGATAAGTGAAAACGACGGTGTGCACTCTGATTATAATTTAGAAACATTATCCTTACCTTCTAGTACTTCAAGCAAGTTACAAGTGTAAAACGAGACGACACGAATACAATATATACACCATACTCCAAAGAACTAATGTTAGTTGACAGTGTACAAAATTATCAGTAAAATATTAAGTCCTATCCTGGGAAATCCAATAAGGACGAATAAGATATGACATACACACATCGCCGGAATTTCTAAGCACGGGGAGTTAAGTTCCATGCGTAGAAAGAAAACGTTCTGATTCGATGAATACAGGTTGATATTCGAATAGACAGAGAAGTTACAGTTACGACTTTAGAGTGCCACAGAATCTAAATCCCGTCGCCATAGGAGAAAAACTGCATACATTGGACCGACGAGGAGACATTGGGAGATCTGTCATACAAACTCAGGTATCTGCAGGATAAAGTTGGCAGGAAAAACAGCAAAGACAGGACTTCAAGTCGACATTGAGAAAATAAAGATAAAGAAGATATCTAACCAGTAACAACAAGCATCAATCACCAGCAACGCCAGAAATTCGAAAGAGGTCGTCTCTCTCACTTGTGTAGGCAGTATATTTTCAACTACAGGAGGTCGGCATGCATGAGGATGTCAAGGCCAAGATCAGAAAGACAAGACAGACCTTCATTGGTCTAAATTCAGGGTGGAAATCGACTGCTGTGAGCATAAAGAACAAGATCGGAATTTTCTATATGGTTCAGAGACCCGGCGCGTAACGAAAATCATTGCCAACAGGCTGCTGCAAACTTTAAACAACAGCTATCTTCACTGCGTACGGAATATTAGACGGCTGGTGGAAGGTATACGCAACAACAGACTCTGACGGGCGGTGGAGAATTAACCATAAACCTATCGCCCAGCAAATATGCAAAAAATAATACACAGAGGAGACCGCCGAGTGACATCACACCGAGCGATGCTGGGGACATCACTCGTACCAAATTCCCATGAAACTTCATGAATTCTCTTACAAATTGCCGCGCCTGGGCAGCGATGATTCGAGACGTTCATGAAGCCGGCTCATCCTCCCGTAGGAGATAGCCGAAGTAAAGTAAAAAAAAGACATCACGTGCAAGGCTCTTGAGTAGGACCCGAATAGGGAGCGGTGAGTTACGAGTCCTCGAATGACATTCATGAGATTATGTGAGGAGGAAATGAAAACTTATGGGCAACCGTGGAGCCAGTTAAAAAGAACTGCAGAGAAGACGGTGAAATTGAGATGTGCTACTGATACCCTATGTTACAGTCGGAATTCAGGGGAATAATAATACTAATTTCATTAAAAACCGGCTTATGCAGTTTGCAAACAAATCTCAAAGTGATGAAGCATACAGTCACGTTAACCATTTCACAGTGAAGAACGTACCTTTATTATTGGTCGACAAAGGCTCCATCAATCTGCTATTGACTGACCAAAACTGATCATACCGAAAATGCAATAATCCATTCCACAATTGACGATGATCTCTAGCCTGCATTTGATTTATGACGTAGCTACGATGTTTTAGAGCATCTGCTTCTTTGATCATCGATAAGAAATGTGCCTCAATAGCTGGTCGACTTACAGGCGGAGATAACAGTAAGTCAGTTGGATAGTTCTAAATAAGTGGTGGGAAAAATAACAGGTAGTAATTGATAAGAAAATGATACAAAATAGAAATTAAATTAAATTTTTTTTTAAATTCCCATTTCTATAATTATTCATATTATTCTTTTAACACATCGGTACTTATTTGTAACAAATACAGTCCCGTCTTTTTTAACTCAGGTTTATGGATTGATCTGTATGTATGCGTGTGATTTGTAACGAAGTAAAACTAAATGTGAGTAGAATGTTTGGTAATAAGGGAAAATCAATCGAGGAGGTAAATAAAGTTGCATTGATTATGGGATGGTTAAGGGACGTGTTACGCATGCCAACCCATCACATTCCTCCCCAATCTATATTAGCTGATATATGATCAGGCTGAGAAAGAGTTACAGGTAGTAGTCAAATCAATCCATAAAGACTTTGACCGTTGATTTTAGCCAATACGGAAAGATATGCTAACTGTATGGCTAGTGTCCTTGAGATGCTAAAAACCAATGGCTGTTCCCTGTTAGTTTAGATGCATTCACTCTTGGTAATATTTTAGATCCACTAAACCCTAGTTATCCTTTAAGTGTAATAATTCTTTCTCCTGTGCATTTATGTTCGTTACACAGTTCCTTTGAATTGTACACCTTTAACTATCAGGGGATTAGATTGCAAAAATTCTGGTTACTTTAGTGTTATATCGTTTCTAAGTATTGGTTTGTTGTAGGGATTTTGTTTGATTGCATGGAGGATTTGATCATGAGCTGACATCAGTTAGAGAACCACTGGAAAACCTGGGAGTACTGGACAGCTGTTTCGTCCTAGTTTGGGACTCCTCAGCAGTACGCACCCACCGGGATTCGAACCCAGGACCTTCTGGTTACAAGGCGAGCTCGTAGACCATTGAGCCACTGGGACCCGATCCAATGGTCCTTGAATTCTAACTTCTGCCAGTTCACGACATAGCGCGACCACTTCGCAATGTCTTCTTCGATGAGTTACTGCCTCATCTTCAACCTGCTGTACCCTACTGGTCACGGCTTCCCACTAGAACCCCAGGTTAACTGCCTGAATAGGGCCAGTCACTAGTGAGCACCAGATGAATTTTGTTTTTAAGTATTGGTTTGTTGTAGGGATTTTGTTTGATTGCATGGAGGATTTGATCATGAGCTGACATCAGTTAGAGAACCACTGGAAAACCTGGGAGTACTGGACAGCTGTTTCGTCCTAGTTTGGGACTCCTCAGCAGTACGCACCCACCGGGATTCGAACCCAGGACCTTTTGGTTACAAGGCGAGCTCGTAGACCATTGAGCCACTGGGACCCGATCCAATGGTCCTTGAATTCTAACTTCTGCCAGTTCACGACATAGCGCGACCACTTCGCAATGTCTTCTTCGATGAGTTACTGCCTCATCTTCAACCTGCTGTACCCTACTGGTCACGGCTTCCCACTAGAACCCCAGGTTAACTGCCTGAATAGGGCCAGTCACTAGTGAGCACCAGATGAATTTTGTTTTTAAGTATTGGTTTGTTGTAGGGATTTTGTTTGATTGCATGGAGGATTTGATCATGAGCTGACATCAGTTAGAGAACCACTGGAAAACCTGGGAGTACTGGACAGCTGTTTCGTCCTAGTTTGGGACTCCTCAGCAGTACGCACCCACCGGGATTCGTTTCGTTGGTTTTCTTCGGTTTAATATTTACCATGATTATATACAGTAGAAACAATTAGAATAAAAAAAATTTACTAAACTACCAGATGAAAATGGAAAGTGTTCAGTTTATTTAAAAGCATATCGTCAAATACCGTAGACGTACACTAAAGTGAACTGTTATCTTCCATGGGATATCTATTGTATCAGCGCACATATCGAATACAAGTCCAATTGGATAATGCCTACAATACAACAATAAGAAAATATAAAATATGTATATGGCGTAAAAAATGAAATATTAGTACCGACTACTGAATAAAAACTACATTATATTAAAAGTAGTTTGCAGTTGAAAAAATGTTGATCTACAAGCGCATCACAAGAAATAGAGATTATACAGTGCGATTTCCGATACGATGTAGGAGATGCACTGTTCATGCTTTGATTACCTATTTTCACTTCATCCTCTAATGTGTACTTGTTATGGAAGCCTACTTATCTAGCAATTAATTCTGTTCACTTACACACACACACACACCTTATTTTACCCTCTCAACCCTTTGTCTTTTTCGTCATTAATTTGCTTCTACCCTTTTGGTTGATTTAGTATATAGGATGGCACAAATTGTCTATTCTTTCTTTTGCTAGTAAACTGCTATTAGTAGGATTGTTCAGATGACTATTAGTTACTATTAGACTTTTCCGAGTAATTAAGAAGGCTACAGCAGCGAGAATTTGTTTCGTTGACTGGAAAAGAATATATTTAGCTGTAATACTGTAAACTAATTGGCTGTATATTTGGCGTAAGGGAGAGAGCTATACATGATAACTATAGGAAGTACAGTGGCTATGGAAGGATCACTACAGAAACTGAATTCTTCCTACTAAATGCATGCAGAGAAACAGTAATTTTCTCACAAACAAGCGTTACATTTAATGATAAATCCTTCTGAATGTAATTTATTTGCAGTACTGCATGATATATTATTATTAATACCTTGGGTTTCAAGTGGAACACAACAACTTCACTTTCTTCTATTTCCTGATGTCTTCTTCAGCTGGGTCCACGACTGATTATAATCCCTTATCTCCTCCTCGCACGGTCTCTTCCATTTCACCCTCGGATCAACGCCGCACTTATCGTTTCCCATTCGGGTCCCGGTCGAGAGATTGCGGCCTGCATTGCCCACGATATCATTCGATGGCGTACTCAACATATGCTCGATCCATCTCCATTTTCTCCTACATATTTGTTGAGCGACCGGGTCTTGATTAGTTTGTTCCCATAGTTTCTCGTTGCTAATTGTTTCTGACCAGCCATTTGATCTTTAATATCGAGCTAGCGAAGTGGGTAGCTGTTTATTAAAGTTTGTAACTCGTTGGAAATCCTTTTTGTGACGTGCAGTGCAAGTTTCTGATTCAAATGGAAAAAAATGACTGACTGACTGACTGACTTGACATCTGTGTTGAAAATCCGAATCATGTTGTTTATGCTGAGACGGAGTGTAGAAGACTCACAAATTGGTTTCAGGTTGATGAAAGCGTAACTCGCCTTTCGGATTCTGGCTGGTTAGGGAAATATTCAGACGTTCCGGTTGCCTGTAGTTGAAATGATGCTTCCTAGATAAGTGAAGGAAGTAGTACTGCATAGTATTACTATTGTTGCTCCCTTGAGTTCCTAGTGGAACATAGGATTTCAACTGCACATCTCCACTTGCTTCTGTCTTCTGCTCTACCTTTCACCTGCATTCACGATAGTCCATACTGTTTCAACTCCTCTTCACACAATCTCCTCCATGTCACTCTTGGACGTCTCACTCGCCGCTTCCCCTTCGGATTCCACTCGACCAATGGCGTGACGCGCGATGTCACCCAGAGGCCTCCTGTACTGCATTGTACTAGAGTTCAAATGTTTCTCCCACACCACTTAACATTTATAGGCTTGTAAGGGAAAAAATGTGCCAGCTGTGGGATGCCTTCTGATTTTCAATGGATTAGTAAGTACGAATGTACAATGACTAATAATGTCGTATGACACTACCTGAACAGAAGATAGGAGAACTCACCATGAGTAATCCATACAATAAACAAGTAGATTGGAAAAAAGTATGTGGCTAGTAACAAAACCAAAAAAACGTTAGAAATATTTCATACCATTTCAAAGGCTGATGGGCATATTCCAGCCAAAATTCATTAACTAGAGGATATTGTTTGGACATCGTGACCTGATCAGGTGGTAGTGGTGGTGGTGGTGGTGGTGTGAACTGAGCTTCACGTTCTGTTTTTCCCCATGACTCAAAAGACGCATCTTCGGAAGAAGGCTTCAATGTTGACGAAATCTGGGTGAACTGACTGAATTGTTTTATTACTTTTTCAGTAACCAACGGGAAATAAGAAACACGAGGAAGAAACATCTGAAGAAGGGAACAAAAATTTTAGTGTGTAAAAGTCATGACGCAAATCCAAGCGGTGTGAACATCATCAATATGAAATTTTACAAGTAGATAATGATGCGCTTATGTGTTATGTTCTATTTTCTTTTATTTGTCTCACAGTTTTTCATAAGCCAAAAACATGGCTGAATAAAGATATACAGTTGAATGAAGTTAGGGAAAAATAATAAACAGCCCAGTAAGGTATAAATATGATTTGAAAAGAGATCAACATTCATACACTGTGAGAGTCATGCCTTATTAATCAATATTACCAACGGAGACTTGCTTCAACAATTTCTTCCAACAATATAAACACACAGAACTGATTCAATCAAGTAAGTATGGAAAAAACAGAGTTTGACACTAATTAAGTGGGTGTTTCGCCATCTACATGTACCAAACCTTGTGAAATATTAACTCCAAAAACTCAATCTGCTACAGTGGTGATTACTTTATGAAAATACATAATGTAACGTATCAGTAGTGATTAATACTACTTCATTGATAAACGCTTCATAAATAAAAGATATAATTCAAAACCATGACATTAGCTTCTGAAGGTTGAATATTGGGTGTTATGGATCATAGGTACACACTTCATAGAGCAGTAGGTGAATTGCGAGAAGGCGTGAAAATTTATGTACAGTACTAGTATACGTAAAAGTGTGAGGGTGAGTAGTGGGATTCAAAAACAGCCAGACGGTAGTATACATACTATGGGAAAGGATGAGAACGAGGAGTGGAAAACAAATAGTTCACAGCTCGTGGGCATAAGAAATTGAACATGATAGTAAAACAGTAAAAGGCGAAACTGGTATATTCAAAAGACATATGTAAATCCTGAATTGTAACATCCTGTTTAGTATGAGAGGAACCACAGGTTCAGACAATTGGTATGTGCGCCTGGTCGAAAGGCCAATGGTGCGAAGCTACCATCTAAGGGATTAAGACTGAACGCCTCTAAGTCTGAATCCCCGTCCATATTTGCAACAGTACATTCCGTATCCGACACGTGGTTGGGCAAACTCACACATTCCTGAACTGAACCATATGTTCGACTAGGCCCATTAGGTCTGGTGTTACGCCACAGCGATGACCATAAACTTTGCTCGGGATTTCGGGGTGTAGGGATCGACAAGATATCTAATTGTGGTATGAGCGTGAGGATACTATGTCGTTTGTAGACAACTTAATGTTTTGTCGAGGAGACGTAAGTGCTCGAGCAGCTATTACACTGCCAGGCATTGAGTCCTATCGCTGCTTGAACATTTTTTATTGCTGGATCATCCTTATTCGATGTGCCCCCTTGAACAAGTAAGTTGTTAGAAACAGTCAGTTTTTTCTACATTGTTAAAACTTCTAGATAAACTTTAAAAGATATCTATTGTCTTATAGATAATCTTGATCCAATCCAAATTGATAACACAACCCCTCCTCTCCAAAGCAACGTCTACTCGATCTTGAAGAACTTCGAAGAACGCAGTTTTACAACTTGTTGGACAAGGACTATCAAAGCTGTTAGTACTTATGACTAGGTGTTGTTTCACTTACATCCATTTCAATCAATCTCTTCTGATGCTTGCTAGCGACTGGCCCTATTTAGGCAGTGACCTGCGGTTCTAGTGGGAAGCAGTGACCAGTAGGGTACAGCAGGTTGAAGGTGAGACAGTAACTCGTCGAAGAAGACACTGCGAAGTGGTCACGCTATGTCATGAATTGGCAGAAGTTAGAATTCATGGACTGGCCATTGGATCGGGTCCCAGTTGCTTAATGGTTTACGAGCTCACCTTGTAACTGGAAGGTCCTGGTTTCGAATCCTGTCAGTGGGTGCATACTGCCGAAGAGTCTCAAACTAGGCCGACGAAACAGCTGTCCAGTACTCCCAGGTGTTCCAGTGGTTCTCTAACTGATGTCAGCTCATAATGAAGTCCTCCAACCAATGAAACAAAATCCCTACAAAAACCAATACTTGACAATTTCATTTATCTACATACAATTGTGAAATTGTACTTAGTCTCATCCTTATTGAGATGAGCACTTTTTTACCTGCACTTATATATTCGTTGTAATTTTATACGTGCATCTACCTTTCAAAAGAAACGTCTCATCTAGAAGCGTAAGAAATGTAGTAAAATCTGTGTGATGAGTTGTGTTTAATTTTGAAGTGTCGCCGTGAAGAACCTACATAGTATTTTAGGTAAAACTCTACTTTGATCCTAGGAACCATTAGTGATAAAACAAAAATTATTGGGAGGCAATTATTATTGCGCTAACGTATAGAATTATTAAACTACTTGTAAATAAACAGTCTGCGCTTACACAAGGCAGCTGACAGAAAGACATGAAGAACTGGAAATGCAAATGTCGAAATGGTATATCTGTCAGCTTTAAATAATTATTTTCTAAAGGACCCGAAATCAAGATTCTATTTTAATGTATCCTTACATATCACTCTTATTTCTAAGCTACGCAACTTGCCATTCGGCCATGGAAGCCTATCAGTTAGTGTGCTTAAGTAGCCTAGTCACATACTGAATGATAAATTTAGGCTAAAAGTAAGCGAGTTTTTAAACTTGGCACTTTACAGCACGAGCTAAATAGACTACTATTCTCAGATTACGTCGGATGGCTGAGTGAAGACTGACTTGTCAAATTTAGAACACGCTTGTTTGTGGGAGCATACTAGCAAGGAAGAAATATATGCAGCAGTGAGAAGCTTATAGTTGTTAATAGTTCCAGAGCGCATCAAGCGAAATGTCTGTCAGAATTAACTAGCTATGCAATCTCAAACCAAGTTTCGCATCCAACTGCTTATAGTAATATCCAACAAAATTAAGGCATGAGAACTATTAATACATATCAGCAGAAAATGAATATAAGTGGTGAACTCACATATACGGGTGGAGGAACATGATCTTCATGCGCTAGATCTTCTTGTGCCAACGAGAAACAAGCAGGAATTTTACCCTCCCAAACAAGTTTTAGAATATTTGAATCCGTCATGTAAATGATGAATCAGCTTAAAAAATAGGAGTCAAAAAAGTGTGCAACCGATTCAGCAAAATGAAATAATAATTTCACAATACTAATAAAATAGTTTGCAAAAATCAGGAAGTTATATACTAGCCAAATATAAGTTCATTAGAGATGTAAATACAAATATCACTTATCGCCACAGTGGAACCTGAATGGGAAACAACGAGTGGGGCACTGGTCCGACGGTGACATGGAGGAGAACGTGAGAGGAGGAGATGAGAGACTATGGGTAATCAAGAGACCAGCTAAACAGGAGCACAGAGAATAGAACAAAAAGTAAAGGTGTGTTGTTGAAGCCCTATGTCCCACGTGGAACCCAATGAAAAAGAGACCATTAATGACTTCACAATGTGTTTGACAAAGACCACAGATTAAAAAGAGACCAATATCTAAATTCCTTCTTATTTCACCCTAGAAATTCTACATTCACACAAAACAGTACTATCCAACAGTGAAAGGCAAGTATCAGTCACTATACATGTTTTAATATCGGTGAGTTAGAGTTGACTTGGATTTCTGGGTCACTGATGCCTCTGTTGTATGCCTAGATAAGAGGGCTTCACTTCCCTTTAGAAACTTGATCAATTTCTCGAGTCGAGCCAAGTGTTCCTAATTCACATGGTGTTCCGTTGTACAACTAAAGATAGCTCCGTTATGCTTTTGCTGGACTATGTTTGCAGGAGTATTTTACAAGCGGGCATACGATACAGATGATGCAGCCAGCACCATAGAAACAGATAACCTGATATGGGCACAATGATGTGGCCCGATTCGTCAGCTTTTCGTCAGCATGCTGACCTAATGATTTCTTGCACAAAAGTATTATTAGAAGACTGTCAAAAAAGCATGTTTTAATGAGATTTTTAAGGCTGTTTTCAGAGAATTCCAACCACAATATCACATTTAAGTTCGCAGTTCAGGAATAAACCCATTTTTCAGAGATAAATATGCCTTCTTAACTGAGTTCTCTGGTTTTAGCTTCTTGTCTATGAAAAAAACCATTTTCCACAAAGCTACTGGAGATTTTACAGTTCTTCATCAACAATTTCCCCAGTGCATTTGTGAGGGAAGTGAGTGGATAAGATTTCTCTTTCTATTTAGGGGCTCTAAGGTTTAAAATCTAACAGACTGTCTGTCACATGCAAGCTCTTCGCAAAAATATTTCCGTAATGAATTATTAACCTTCATTAGGAGTTTATTACTTGATGTGCTCGCTATGGTAGCCCGAAAGTCCTGTGTTCGACCTCTCATGCAGTAGTGGATGTGCACTGATGAAAAGTCCCAAAAGTAGACGGAATAGCTATCCGGTGGTCCTTGGATCTTAATGATTCCCTACCTGGTATACATTTATGACGAAATTTACCTTAAAAACTATTTTCCCATCTCCTCTCTTCCTCCCCAGTCGCTTTATATTCATCCAATAAGTTAATGATGATTACTCAGAAGTGGAGTGCGTCGGTGGTATAGCGGTTAGGACGCTCGCCGACCATGCACATGGTCCGGGGTTCAATCCCCGGCTGACGCACTCATTTACCTCGCTGAGCCAGAAATAATCCTGGTAAAGAGGCAAGGTTGGGCATGAGGCTGGCAAACCCATCCTATAAAGATTAAACACTGCTAAGGAAACTTGAAGCCCTATGTTCTTATTGTGTGGACGAATTGCCAACGCCTCCACCATATACAAATGCTGAATTCTGACGCCCATTGTACCATTTGGCCTCACCTTGTAGATAATCTTTAAAGACGACTGTGGTGGAGCTACGTGGCTTGAGTTCACAAAATGCTCCAGAATAGAGCTTGTAACTGTTTTGCATCGTTCTTTTGTTGACCGTGTCAGATAATGTTCAGAGAGGCGTTTGGAAAGTGTGCGCTTTGTGCGCCCAATATAACTAGCTCCATAGGAACAAGCGAATTTATAGGCACACACTGCTGCCAAAAGCGGCAGTTTATCCTTCACACATTCACTGATCGACTGTCCACCAGAGCTGTCTTTCAAGATTATCTACAAGGTGAGGCCAAATGGTACATAGGGCGTCAGAATTTAGCATTTGTGTATGGTGGAGGCGTTGGCAATTCGTCAATACTTTTTTATTTTTGATTACAGCTTGATTCCACACTGTATTTTTGGTTCAAGTATGGAATTTTCAGCATGGATATCGGTAGCCCAAATTTGCATCCCGACCATAGATATCAGGTGTGCGTCGGCAGAGGATCGAACCTCGAACCATTTGCATGGTCGGCGAGAGTCCTAACCACTGTGCCACCGACGCACAACCCCGAACTCTGTATACAGAAAAAGTTTGTCTAGTTTCCTATTTTACCATGGTCTTAACCCCTTCACTAATCGTTCCCTGTAAAAAATTTTATTTTTTAATCTTCAATTTTACTTTTAGTTTGCTTTTACTTTAATAATTAATTCACTAATGTCACTCTCATATGTTCCTTTTGTACATTTTCACACCCTCTACACGCTTGTTCAATTGATACTCAGCTAACTTTATTCTTACTTGATAAGAATTTTTAACCTTGTCAAATTTCTAACCGTTTCTTCCTTTGTTCCGATGAGTACTACGTAATTTACAACTTATAAATTAGTGATGAATTGAGCTATAAATCGCGGTCTTCCATTTGTCAATAATTTGGATTCCCTAATTAACCTGATTCTCAAGGTTACAGTATCAACATTTGAAATGCGTTACTTTCAATCTTCTATAACCACTTTAATTTCATGTGGTCTACAACTGATGAGAACCTTTGCATTTAAAATGATACTGTTTACTACGACACATTTTTTGAATTTCTTGCTCTGTCAAAATTTATCAAAGGAATTTCTTGTATGAATATTGTTCTCTTTCATAATAAAAAAAACAAACACAAAAATCAGAACTTCAGAACTAAAAGAGCTATGAGTGAAGAGGACTACACAAAAGTATCAAACGAAAAACAATTTATGCCTACCACCCCCTAACCACAAAATTCAAACATCCTCATGTACTTCAATTGACCACAATGACTTTGAGAGTGACATTCCACACAATATTTGTGGTATAAACCGAGTTTGCTGCATCTGTCAAACAGTGATGTCCAGTGACTACGGACTGTAAGATACTGGACATAGTAGTAATGATCAGGTTGATATTGTGACTCTAGGAAGACGGTTTCTAGTTCTTTTCACAGAGATGAATTGTGTGCAACAGTGAGCAGAATTAAGGAATCATGTTTTATACAGCGTAACTTGCTACTGATTCTAGGTAACTAGCTCGGCATATAGGTTACCACGACTTGGTAACCATAACTGACTCCGGTTGTCTAGTTCTCGAGTTGCAGATAATCGAATTCTTTAACCTATATTTGCTAAACAGCTGTAGAATGAGTAAATGTAAAGTAACTGTACAGTAATTCAACATCATCCCTCAATTTTTCTACACAACGTACGAATAACCACCTGTTAATCCACTACTTACATCTTTTAAACCTATTTTTGCTAGTCAACACATTTACAAACTTGAGTAACTGAGTCGGAATCTCGTCATCTTCACTTCCCACAACTCATATAATACAATGAATTTATACTTCTGTGATTGTAACAACTATTTCAGTTAATCACCACCTTTGCTGAAATAAGCCAAAATGAATTCTTGTGAATAAAGTATTTCAGAAAAGATATCACGGCAACACATCAGACTACTTACATTCGGCTAGAGGTAAAATAAATTTTGAAGAAAACTGGAAATGACGCCAGGCTTACAACACAGCCATCACCTTTATCTCATACAATCTTTAATCTTGATAAACTTGAATAAAGTGAGAACAATGAAATTGAGCAGGAGAATATAATTTCCTTTTATAATATCATAGGCACTCTCGTCAATTGTATACAACCTATAAAAGAATTTTAATATAAAAATGTACAGAGATATTAGCATACACTGAGTAACTAATTAAATCAAAGATGAAGGGTATAAATGTTATGCAATCGAATATCCGAATAGTGGATAACACTACAGAGTTATTATAAACCTGTTGTCACATATAGAAAAACTGAACAAATATCCCACAGTCAGAAGGGGAAGTTGGATAATATGAAGAGATTTAAAGATTTATAACAGCACATTTTATGTACAAATTACAGAACTCCGTGGATCCCCCAGTTGATTAAAATAGAGTGACTATGATTTACAGACAATTAACAAAAAGTATGAAATGACACTGAATACAACATCAAGCTACCCTGGTATGGTTGTAAGACATGCTGATAAAGGTCTTTCAACAAGGTTTTATTCCAATTAGTGAGTTCTGTCTGCGAACCTAGATACTGAATCTAGAACAAACGGTTAACCGTGACCACTTGGAAACTCTTTGCTTCTGGTGATATGAGTTTTTAAGACATTTACAGTCTATTTTAAAATGTCTTCTTTCCAACATAATCCCCTCTATATATGCTGTATCAATGCGCCACTTACTGGGGCAGTCAGGAAATGCTACTTCGATGCACATTTTTCTTTGAAAGGTTTGATGATGGCTAATCTATGTCAAGGATACACTGAAGCGACAGTGTTAGTAAAAACAACTGTTACAACAATAAATAAGGACTTGTATATAGTAAAATATGCATATACCTCTTTGTTGTTGTGCAACAAATGTTCACAACATTTTCCGTCTTTTCCATAACTTCAGAATTGTAGAACTGGTGAGACACTAATTATGACTTTGTTCAAATTTATTCTTGAGATCAACACTTTCACACAACACAACACGATAAAAGTGTAAGCACCACAAACACACAATTCTTAAAAATCCTGAAACATCGTGTGGTGTAAAGCAGGGAAAAACAAATTTCAAAATATTTTATTGAAATCAAGTTCAATATACATATTCTTGGCACAAGCGTCACAATAGAAAGACTGTAATACGTTTTAGATGTAAATAGGATACCTACTGTATGACTGAAGAGAATGTATGTGGTAGACACTTCCAACTATGTACAATTATGCATAATGCATTAAAAAGAGAGAGAGACAGTTTGTTGCAGAAGTGAAATATCAGTCATTGCTACTGTGGGAGTCATCACTGCATGCATAAGACACAAGTTCGACAGAAGTATCATCATAGTGACTAGAAGAGTGATAATCCCGTGGAGGAGAAGATATATCCGAGTTGTTACAAGAATTTATTTGTGTGTTGATTTCGCTTTTTTGGTTTACAATTTTATCACATTTCTCGGTCTTCTCAACATTTTCACATAGGTTAATAAGTTTATGAGAACCTGTGGACGTCTTCAGTGTTCTTTTTAACATCACATTATTTGCCCGTTTGACGATGTCAGCATTTGATATAGTCTTGGTAGAATTATGAGTCAATTCGAACGGATCTTTACTGTGAACGAAAGACGTAGGATTTAAACCATCTGATTTGACATCTAAAGATTGAAATATAAATAATGTCTGTCAATATAAAAGTAGATCAATTAAATACTTATGTCTGTGCATTATTATAACCAAACAGAATATGTACTGCCTTAGGATAAAATCAAACCTCATTTACAATCCAATATACACTTGGTACAACATAGACATCCCTACCACACTATGGAGTTGCGGTGTATGAACTCAATTATTCTTTTTTTCCTTCACGTTCCCAAATGGAACATAGGGCTTCTAGCTAGTGGCTTGAAGCAGTGTTTTTTACAGGATGGGATTGCTAGCCTCATGCCCAACCTTGCCTCTTTACCAGGATTATTTCTGGCTTAGCGAGGTAAAGGAGTGCGTCAGGTGGGGATCGAAACTCAAATATTTAGTTCAATTTAATTTAATTGTTCAACGATCTGGCAAATCGTATCCTTATGGCTTCAGCTATTTAGATAGATGTGAATACGCATTTTTGTATCAAGTTGGATTTAAACTTTTTATTATTTTTTTGCGTTCCTAATGAAATGGAATAGGGCTTCAAGCTTGAGCCAGCTTGAAGTTTCGGTATCATTGATGTTTATTTTCACGGGGTGGGTTGGCTAGCTTTATGCCCAACCGTCTTTCTTTACCAATCTTATTACTGGCTTAGCGCGAGGTTTACGTGTGTGTCGGTCAGGGATCGAACCTCAGACTACATGCATGGTTGGCGAGCATTCTATCGCTGTACCACCAAGGCACTTGGATTTAAACTATTTGCATTTAATTCACTTGCCTAACGGCGAAATCATGTTCGTGGCAAGAATATTTCAGCGTCTAAAGGTAATCCAGCATATGATGCAGGACAGATTTATGCATAAAGGGACAGCTACGTTCAGAATATTTGTGATCGAGGTCGACAACAGTATAGACTTCAATGACAGAAGTTTATCAGGTACTTTCTCGTATAGTGTAAATATCGATGTTCCATGAAGGGAATTAGATTTTAGACACTGCTAGCTTTATTCATTGAAATTACAATAGAAGAAACAACAGATTGAGTGAAGAAATATATCTAAAAGGAATATATTTCTTCGCTCAATCCGTTGTTTTTTTTCTAAATGCGTAAATGAGAATTTGGAAAATTACTTACTTTGTTTCGCATGAGTAAGTTGTATAACTTTAGCCATAGTTGTGTCTTCATCAATTTCAGGAAGCAGTTCCACTTCTGAACCCGATAATGACAAACGATTTAAAAGAGCTTTATCCTTGATCATTATTTCCTGAGATAACTTTTTCGCCTCCTAAAGTGAGAAACATCTGTAAATTGAAAGCAGTTTTAGCAAAATTTCTAAACTACAATTAAAAGAACTTAATTAATGCAAAACTATAAATCAAACAAACAGGCCCACTGGTATGCTGGTGGGTTATGTTTCATAATATGTGTTGAGGAACACAGAAATTTTTAAAAACAAGTAGTGGTGTTTAACGGTTACAGGAAAGTTATTATATAGAATTGAATTAAGTAACAATGAAACAGCCAATTGATTACTACATTAAAACGAACACCAACAAAATAACGGAGAGTTCAGGATATTTCATGTGAAATCAACCCTTTTGAAAAAGAAGTACTTTGTTCTTCATTATCTGCTGTTTATTCCGTGCTCCTAAGAGTTATGACCCTCTTCGAACGCTTCTTCTTCGGGGAGTTTCCCAGTCGCAAAAAGATATCACTGCTTTCCTCAAAAGCAGACAAACTACATACTACTTATATATATATATATTCTGATAGACAAGTCACATACCACAAAATGACCAAGATTCTCCGTAACAAAAACAAATCATATTCGGCAACAAAATGGAAAGAAATAGGAAAAGAATCAAGACATGGAAAATACCCATCAATTCTTTGGGCTTATTACAGAAACGAGTTCTAAAAAACCTGTGATGAGTGAAACGGCCGCTGACAAGGATAGAACTTTAAATCAACTCTCAAGATAGACGGCTGGAACATTAAGCAGAATACTTCGAGTAGCAGTCCAGTTTACTACAATCTAACTTCAGCTTTAATGGAACATAGACATCGGTCATCGGATTTTAGACAAGGTTGCAAATGCTGTTTCTAACCTAAAATGAAGTGAATCAACAGGGTACAACGGTTTGTTCTCAGAAGTGTTCAAGGATAGCGATCATGAATTGTTGACCATATGAATTAGGATTCTAGCTAATGTAAGGGGATGCGACTGGTATTTATCATAAGTGATATTTCTTACAGAGGAATCAGCTCAGTAACATATTATACTCTCACTGAGATCCATAATCCTACAAATGCCAAGTACTATTCGTCAGGAGTTAACTCTTCAAGAAAAGTCAGGTTTCAGATTAAGGAGACGGCTACAATGACTACTTCTTGTAAGGGTGCAAAAAACAGGTTGCCAGTACCCAGAGCATTTCTTCACTGGAATACTGCATTCGAGATTTATCATATGCAGTGAAACATACTAGAACTCTGGATGTTACCGTTTTCACCTGACTTCGTTAAACAAGTACGGATTACTATAACCAACGCCAATATCGAAGTTTAAGAGATTATGAGGTTACTGGGTATCCCATTGACTTAGGGTGCTCGATGGCATATTCTTTACAGAGAAAGACACTAACAAGACGGAGAACCTTCCCTACACCCTGGTAATAAATCTAAGTAGCTCTCACATGCGATTCACCGTTTCCAAATAGAATAGTACTACTACACTGAAGAATAATTTGAGAATATGGAGTAAAATAATCGAATTTATTGTCCAACTGACGTGTTTAGGAGGCTGCATTAGCTTTAATGGGCTTGTTTCTGAAAAAAACCTTAGCACAGATAGCAAAGGTTCGTTTGACATTTGTCAACGTGAATTGCTGATGTGATGTTCGGCAGTCCATCAAGGGGTGTGTACAGTGCACTAGTTCGCCGCATCCTACTTTACATATGTCTGTGAAATATGCCTGCTGAAGGTGACAGATAGGGGAAGATGATCGATTTTAGCACGCGTGTGCTCTTTTCCAATCTTTCTTATTATTTAGAACAATATGGTTAGTAACTATAAATTTTGACATTGTTAAGCAGGAAGTAAGGGGATGTTACTCAACAACCGCTGGCAATTCTATGTACTTGAGAATGAGCTACAGCTATGGTCTCAGGACTAATGACACCTGACTGCACTAACCTCAGAAAATGGAACCAGGTTGAAGCCCGTAACGCAATAGTTCGTGTTCAGACCAGTTTCACTTAGTATCAAAATAAAGAGGGAAGATTGCAGTTTCAGTGGGTTTATATTTTCTACTTTCAGGGTGTGTTTATTCAAAGCACAACAAATGGAAACGATACACTCATTGTCGAATTCAACGCTTGAGTCATTCAGAAAAACTAAACCTTCAAAAATCCAATTATACTGAGCAACAGGACAATCGAGTGATAGAAACGATCAAGTTCATTCACATAAATATAAATAATAAATGTAAATTTATGTGAAACCACTTTATCCCAAATTAAAAGCTTTGGTATCATGAAATCTTATAATCAGTGAACAATCACCTTCAAAGGTATTGTACGCATTATTTAAAAAAACAAAAAAGGAAACTCATCAAGCATTAAGATTAATATAATTCTGCATACACGAAATTTTTTACGAGCTATTTGATTTAAAGCAAAGTCATCTTGATACACTGTCCTATCTGATTGTAGTTCTTGAATAATGGGGACGGCATCGGTAGCCTTCTTTTTGTCTGCAACATCATGCTCCAAGTGATACATTGCATCTGTGGCGAGCTGCTTCTTCTCGGAGTGATCTAGTAAATGTTTTAGTAAATAATTACAATAAGATAATCAAAAACTATGCCACATAAACAAGCATAAAATAATCACATTTTAAGTTTTGTAGAGATTTGAATCATTTCAACATAGGCTTTGTCATGAACTGACAACAGCTATAAAAGCATTAATACAAAGAGGTACTGTTTTGTCCCTGTTTGATACCCTTAGGCAGTATGCATCCATGGTAGGACAGTCTACACTGGACTGTAACAACGGATAAGTCCTATCCAAATCAACATAGAAGAGTTCATAACATTATCGATTAACTCGAATAAGTTAATTAATCCGATATTTACTGACAATATTGCTTCAAATTACACAGAAGTTTGGTAAAAAGCACCTATGGTAAAAAACCGCTTTGTCCCTGCTTTACCCCTTTGACAGTCATTAATCACTGAATAACCGAGTTTTCAACATAGGAATTTACATAACAGTACAGCAGTTCAAGTTGCCACATGGCACAGGTGATAAGACGGTAGATAAAAAGAATTCAAAGAAAATGTAATCAACACCATTATACGGGAGAAAGGATTATTGAGTGGAAAATGATGAGGATCAATAAATATTACAAAAAGCAAATGCATCCTAGCCACCGAGAACCATTTTGAACCATGTCACTAGCAGTCTCAAGCACACTAGCCAGACGGTTTAAACCATCCTATATAGCTCAGACCAAAGTCAAAGACTTCAACGACTGACTCCAATTTTTGACTTGATCACCCCTAATCCTTTTCCAAACTAATCTTATTTCAGCTAAGATTGTTCGGCGAGGAATGCAATGGTATGCTACGTGCGATGTGTCCTATCCATGTCAATCGACGCAGCTTCACTATCTCACAGATGAATTTTCCCTCCCTTACCTAACTTTAGTGTAACTCTACATCATATCACCTAACAGAGGAGATATAACGCAAACAAATACGGTCACAGATAGCTGACCCCTTTGTACCTTCGACTTCGAACGGCTACATCTCACAGCTGCAAGGAAGGATGGAGCAAACTTATGCGCATTACACACACCCCTTGATGGACAGCCGAACATCACATCAGCAATTCACGTTGACAAATGTCAAACGAACCTTTGCTATCTGTGCTAAGTTTTTTTTCAGAAACAAGCCCATTAAAGCTAATGCAGCCTCCTAAACACGTCAGTTGGACAATAAATTCGATTATTTTACTCCATATTCTCAAATTATTCTTCAGTGTAGTAGTACTATTCTATTTGGAAACGGTGAATCGCATGTGAGAGCTACTTAGATTTATTACCAGGGTGTAGGGAAGGTTCTTCGTCTTGTTAGTGTCTTTCTCTAAAGAATATGCCATCTGAGTACTCAATACCAACAGGAATTCTCCAGTAGCAAGTTGAAGAGTTTGAACACCACGTGGCTTATCTCAGAAATCCCAACAGTCTTGGAGAGATAGTGGCAGATGAAACGATTAAGGCCACAAAAAACAATTATTCGTTTTTTTGTAGAGACGCACTATTGTTACTAAGCAGAAGTGTGTAGTGGTTCGATATGTCTTAATATATGTTTCTGAAGCGTAACGATTGAGATTATTGTTTTCTTCATAGTATGTGTAATTAACTTAGACACGAAAAGTCCACCCTACAGTAAAAAACAGGTATGGCAGTTAATTAGATTGTTAATTTTCATCGTCTGGAAGCTGAACACATTTTGTCACTCTAAACAGAATAACCTTACAAAAGCAATAAGCGTGAGAGTATACAAAAATAAAATATTTTAAAATCATACGCATCACCTGCAGTAACTATTTGCTCATTTTCTTTAGGATCCCACTGTTGCACTTTACGCCTAGCGCCCTCCAAAATCAGATACTGAAAGTTTTTTGGGTCAGTTTGCATTATTATTGTTCCAGCGCAAAGATGACAGGGCATAGTGAATTGATATATAGGAGTAGAATGGTACATGCCCACTTTCTTCTTTTGTGCATTATACCTCACTCCCATACCTATGGGATTCTTGCAAGTGAGACACCAACAATTGAATGGCATTTCAAATCTAATGGTGATAATGCCTTGGTCTGCTTTTTTTCCTCGCTGACGAAGAGCGTGTGTGCCATGGTACGCATTGAGATTTTTATGACGATTCGGATCGAAATCAGGGGGATAGTATTTATTTGTACCTTTTCTTTCTCCCTTTAAAAATGAGATATAAAATCAAAAAAGCTTAATAATTAGTTCCTGTTCGCCTAATTCAAGTGAAATGTACACTAAGTAATCATTTAGTTGTCAGATCTAATAAGTACACACTATATTACATTCTGTAGTTTGGTTGAGAAAACTTCACCCGTTTAACCCTTAGATAACTAATTGACTGCAACCACGAGTATCTTTCTAATCCAAAACAACAATGTAGAGTATGAAATTGATATTGTTGGCCACTTCCATCTTCCCAAGTTTGAGATGGTTGGCAACTAGAACAGCTAGCAGAAAGATATATAATAGTTCCAAGTAGATGGTAATCAAGTTTGGATTTTTAGAACAAAGATCATTATAAAGATTAATTCCCCGGTATCACTGTAAACGATTACAAAACATCAATAATTTTTCAACTACGGATCCTTACTATCCTGAAGATCCCAGCAACATCTGCTCTTCATCCAGTGTCTCTAACGAACAATCAAGAACTTCATGAATCCGTGACATGTTTCCCTCTAACTCTACCGAATACCTTTTCAGCCGAATCCTATTTTTAACAGCGTTACTCGTCGAGGGAGGCAGTAGCTCAACATGCGCAAGATGCATTCCAGAAACTGGAGGAAGTTCATAACCCTACCTTCTACTGTCAATGACTCACAATGAAGTTAATTTGGTCAGGATAAATATAACAACACTGCAACATCTCTGGGAAACGAGCACTTAGTTCTCTTGGAAGCCTTTGAATAAAAGCAATCAAAAGCTGATGACTTCGAAAAGTTTTCAAGAAAAGTAAAGAGGCATAACCACTGAGTTCAGTTGTTCTTCAGTACTATGGTTAATGAAAGAACTCTAACTCCCATAAAAATACCAATAATGGTGAAATACAATGACGTAGAGATTGAATAACAAATGAAAATATCTTAGACTAAAAACGGAGACTAACATGAATAAAAATCACTTAACAATATATGACTTCAAGAAATGTGACATAACTTCAATTTTACAACCAAACTAAATGAAATATCAAAACAATTTCTCTGTAGTAAACATCATACAAAAACTGGAAAAGTGAACAATCCTTCATAGGTGGCTACTCTCTAAAACGATCAGTGAACATTCGCAAGAGCACGAATACTGAACAATATGAAAGGAGGTAAAATAGTTTATTTTAAATCCATTTAAGACCATATCACCCATTAAGGATAACCTCTATTACAGCCGAGATTACTTAAATTTTGTTGCCACCAAATGGTTATAATACTACAAGATAATAAGACCATAGATTATCTCTCAAACAGATTCAGTTCGGAGACACTAGATCTTCAACTCAGAGAACAGAACTTTCTTTACAAGAAGATGAAGTATGTTAGGGATAAAGTTTATTTGTGCTGCTCTGAATCTTAGTATGGTGATTACTGCGTAATTAACAGCTACGCAGTCAGATTGTGTCATGCTGTTACCTACAAATTTACTCTCCACTAGCTGACACACCAGTAACACCTTCCCGACGCATTGAAGGTGTTAGTTACGATAAGGTTGCTTAATAATGGTGAATTAAGATGGACCTATGTAAGCCCAATGTGTGTTTAGAACGATAGGTATTGTATTTGTATTTCCTCCTTTGCTTAAATGTGCATGAATTCTTCGAGATGTTAAACTCCAGAGTTTCAACCTCTCTAGTAAATAAACAACAAATACTCAGGTATTTAGTGGAAAATAAAGATATTACTGACGAATCCACGACCGAAAAAGCTGCTTACAAATCAGTTTTCACGAGCTCAATAAATTGGTGAACTATGATAACAGTATTTTCAACACAAGTTGTAATAGGATCTTGGGGTCTTCGTGCAAAAGTCACTTGATTTTTGCAAGACTTGTACAAGCCACCACACTTACACATAAAAACATGAATGAGTTGCTAAGATCCCCCATGTATGTACGAAATGGGCGAGAGTTCAAGCAGACAAGAATCCTACAACTAAAGGTCACTTAGCATTTCACAAAACTGGTACAGATGACTAGAGTACTTCAGCAAATCACAAGGCAAGAGAAAACCATTTCTTTCTTTGCATATGAAGTATATTTAAACGGAAGTATGCTGTTTTGTCGCTTAATAGTAAAGTCAAAAGATCCTGAGCCACGCGCATTGCTCACGTCTGTCTTCTGGTATCTGAACATCATACTTGCTGTGCTGGCTGGAAATGACCACTTGGGATCCCTGAATTAGTCTCAAGATGAAGTATGATGACTGATGTTAATACCTGTCTACAAATCAACCATATTGTTAGTTATACTTGTAAGCCAAACGAAAATATTACCTGGATATTTACACACGATGTTGCATAAATCTGTTGATTACTTACGGTTCTATTCAAGACGCTGAGTAGCAGCTACAAATCTCTGGTGCAGCTGTCAAACAAATTGGGCAGACATCACCCTGAGGACGAAGTGTCCAGTTGTAAGCATCAAGGGCTATGATAACGAGATTGACGTATATAGCTGTTTTGATCTCACTTAATACTCTCTCAAAACTTCTGCGGAAATTACGTTAATGGAGTAAACTGTATACGCAGTGGCGATTGAAGAGGTCATAATAAATTAATAATCCAAAAAATTCACACAGTTCTAAAGAATCTTAAATCAGTTGTATTTCTGTATTCACACCAAAGACATGACCTAGAGGTCAATTGGCAATTTTTTAAACAGACAATATCGTAATATGGAAAAAGACTAAGAAAAATCTCGCGATAATGCCTAATCCAAATAACATGGTGATTTAGAGGAATATTCTGGCAACCTGGATCACTTACTCCTCTATAGGCGTTTATGAAGTCAATCCTAACGCTGGGCTCCAGTAGACTGGTTTATTAAAGCATTATAATTACGATATAGAGGTCAGTCATATATCAAGGCATGGATGTGCACGACTAGCTAATATATAACGTCTATGATTGCAGAGTTAGGTGGTGCTACTTTGGGACTTTTTAACTGAACGTAACTCAGATAAAGGTATTCTTATAATTTACGCTCTAGGTATCATTGATCTTTTTTATTTCACACATTTCACTTGTTAAGTTTTCTGTAAAGGAGGTTTCTGTATTTCTTTATATCATCCTCTACGGATAGTTGCAATTTCATGTCTGTTTGGTGATTAGTAATTAATAAAGCACAGTTGACTTCACTACCTCATAGTGGGAGAGCGGGGAGCTGAGAAGTGGTGCCCGAGGAGAGCGGTTCCACCAAGTTTTTACCCGGCTAATACCCTCTATTACACAGTTTTGATTGCGCGTCAGTATAAGTTTTTCACTTCAGGAGGCAAACAGGACTTCTTGTGACAGTTTAGGTTTTACGAGAGGTGGGTGCAGCCGAAAAAGTACCGCGCATTACCAGGAGAAAAGGATGCGTAGTTTTAACATATACATTATTAAGGACAGAGATAATCATACAATAAAGTGTTGTCCGTGGAGGATAGGACTGAAAGAGAAATCTTAGCCAGAGACAAGACTAAAAGAAAGTGGAAATCACATGAAGTTATTAGGATTTCTGAGATCAGTTAGCACTACGATATACCAAAACAATCCCCTCTGCCTGGGGTAAATAAAAACGTGAGTTGTCAAAATTGGTCATTAGCTTAAAGATAAGATAACGGAACATCTTGGCCTTTTTCCAAACACCTATAGTACGACAATATTGATTTCTGTTCCGTTGTTTACAAAATATCGCTGAGACATTATTTCTTAGTCATGAGGCTTATATTGGATGAGATTGATACACGCAAATAGTACAGCCTATATTCGCATATAGAGGTCAGCAATTAATATTTCAGATTCAGTGCACTGCTGCACACAATATCAAAAACAAAAAGATTAGCCATTCTCAGCCTACAAGCTGAAACAAGTAAAAATGCTTCAGCGACATCGATCACCCGTCAGAAACATCCACCAAATACTCAAGTGCCATATGAATGTAGAAAAACGCTAAGTTGGGGAAGAGGAAGACGGAAAACTGCATAAATGAAATACTAACCATTTTCCCGAAAAACGCGCCACAAGATCCAATCGAAGCGATTGGACATTCAAGGACTTGTGCATTTGCGAAGGCGTTTGTTCACATCCCAAAATAAAATTCACGTGATGCATGTTAAAACTTCTGTTGTATTGATAAATTTGTTTCCAACCTATCCCTCTGAATTTCTTTACATTTCACGTTAGCTTCGGACGAGCGATTACCACGGTACTTCAGGATGGCCTTGAGGCATACGATAATGCCTTCAGTCCTGAATTATATGTATATCTTGCTTCTGGAGTTAGCTGACGATTTTAATGAGCAGCTTTTACTTTGCAGACCGAGTTATAGTATAGCTATTCAATAATAGCACTAGTGGTCAGAAGCATCGGATGGACTCGCTGTAGGGTACGAATGAGTGTTCGACATACTAAGTTACAGACCGTATTTATTCTTCTCTGGAAACTTTCTTTTCCAAGTCAGTGCTGAGGCTGACGGACATTCTTTTTATCTGCAATTATTGGATTTTAAACACTTGGTCGATATCGACGGCTTCACATACGGGGCATTGGTTACTTCCGCTGTGGGAAATTTTTGTTTGGAAACGTCTCATAGTGTTATCATAATCTTCATGTGATAAATTGTGTTTGAGACACCATCAGTAAATATTACTTTATAACACTGCAGGACTGTCAAATAATTTTTCTCCATAATTGAACTATACTGTGCTAAAGTGTCCGAGTTCTTCTCCTGTATCTGAGAATTCATTAATGTCAGATGTGAAATAATTCCATCAGTGCAGAGATATGGATTCCTGGGAGATGAATACTGCTGCACAGATGTTACGGGTAGTCGATACTATTATTCATACCAATCTAATCCAACTCGGTTTCGCTTTAACTATTTTTCCCCATCCTACATTTTTTGTAATATTTACCAGTGGTCTTAAAACAAGTGAATATACTGAAATTCATAAAATGCTGTTTTTGTGTACACGCTGGCAAAACAAGTGTAAAATATACCAACCTGCCTCAAATACCAATAACGCGAAGGTCCCATAGAGTCTAATCTATAAAATTCTCCAGACCTTGAGGCCAGTTTACACGCCTCTTACTGCGTTGAGAAGGTGCTCATTGATGTTACTAGACTTGCTATTCAAAACTCTTCAAATGTCACTACTAAGAATTCCCCTGTAAATGGAAGTCAGCTCCTAATAATATAAGTAACCTTTATGTCATCGACAGAGTATCATCCCAAACCAGCCTGTCAGCGATGGAAACCCTTCGTGCCAACTTTTAATTCTGAGTGGTCTATTGTGGAGAGGATTCCGAAGAGCATCGAAGTACAAATCAGTGAATCTGAGTGATTCATACCAAACAATACTATTTTGCTTTCCATAAATTGTAGTCATATAGAGCGAAACATTTTGTACGCGGCTGCCAACGTCAGCAGCATTTAGCTGACTTCCTTTCAGGGAAACTAGTTTGCCTCTTATTCAAACTGTAGTTCAATTAGCGAACCATGCTGAGTATTACACTCACTAACAAATCGAGAAGTATGTTCAAAAGGGATAATGATAGAGCACACATCCACTCTGTATTGTCAACACTCATCATTAGCTCGTTTTTCCAAGTGAATGTAGGGAACACAGCACATCTCCGTTTCACCCTGATCTCTGCAGTTTTCGTTACCCGAATCAGCGAATGTCCATAAGCTTTCATCCCTTCACATGATCTTTTACATTTGGTCCTTGGAATCTCATCTTGTCGTTTCATATTTGTACTCAACTTGACAATCAGGCTCGTGGTTTTTCTCAAAAGTCTCCGCAGCATAGGTCCAGTCCACCTGCACTTTCTTCAAACGCTTGTCAGACAGTAGGCCCCTGGTTGGTTCGCTGCCTGCCAGAGCTTTTCGCTAATCCCCTCTGATCATCTGGTTTTCAACATGGAATAGGGGCAACTGTTGATAAATATCTGTGCCCTTGGCAGTGCTTTTGGTGATGCGCCAGGTTTTGAAGTTTTAATTTCATTGTGAGAATGCTATACAGGATGGATAGTATGTCGTGATCCGAATTCACTTGCATGCCATAAACTAAAAACCATCTCATCGTCAGTCCTACGTTAACGTATAATGGTATCAAAAGAGGAACTGCCCTGTCTGAATAAATTCTTACTGTGTGCTGTATCCACCTACACATCTGGCCAGATATGAGTAGGCATTCAGGAGTAGAAGCGTAGTGATGATGTCCGGATGAACCCAGACACTAGTGAGTCAGGTCTGGTTTAGGGTGCCCATTTATATACTCCGTGATCTGGTACGATAAGGGTTTGTCACAGACAGACTGTTTATATCCAACGTGTCAGGGTTCTAAAGTCTTTCTAAGGTGACGCCAGAAGTCTGTAGGTACGCTAATATAGTAAAATCAATGGTTGGAGGCATTGTAGAAGTGCAAATGTAAGACAGCGTGTCCACCGCAGGATTATTCGCATTGGAGACACGACAGCTGTCCGAAATGAATTTTAAAATATGGTACAAACTAATCAATCAGTGTGGAGCATGAACAGCTGGATCCATGATTCATGAAAGAGGAGACCCTCCTTCTTCAACATGGGGAATTAAGCGTTTGGTTGATCTGTAGATTACTACGAGTTTGAGACAAAAGTATTGCCCTGAAAAGTAAGCCGGGGTTCAATGCAGCTCTAAGAGCAGCTCTAGAAGCACCAATAATATGCTGGTGGAAGCCTGACGACCACCAGATAGTAGCACATGTAATGTTCATCTTAGCTTTTATGCTGCAAAGCTTTCTTGGGTTATGTTTACAGTTTTCCACATACGTCTGAAAATATTTGTCGTGGCATTTCGAAAAAAGTGTCAATAAAACTCACTACATCGAAAGTGCACGTATTTAGAAACCGACTTTCTAGTCGAGGTAGTTATTCGAATTTCCGCCCGACCGTTCGTAATACTGTAGAAGACTAATAATGTGTGTGAACCTTCATTTACGGTAGCACACCAAAGGGCATGTGAAGCGACGTTAACCTAGTCAAACGAACGTAAGGGAGTTTGTCAGTTAAGTCTCATAAAATGTTAGTGTCCAGCTCTTGCTACGCCGAACCTCACACTGTCCCTCGAAGACATTCAAAAACAGTTTGTATTAACCAACGCGAAAAAACCAGAACACTTATTGGCGACTGAAGAATAATTTATTCTCACGCCAACATATGGCCAACAATAAGGTTGTAACACAAGGTATAAGAATGAGTGTTATAACAATAAATCACGATAATACTTCCGACAGTTTTTTGTCTTCCACTAAACAGCGAACGATGAGACGATGACTGCCGGATTGATGACCCGCGAAAAATATGGAGGAGTTGGATTTGAGAAAACAACCATGAATCGATCGTTCAATCTTCAAATACATTGACAGAGTTGATTACTCAGGAGGCGAATCAAACCATCCAAGCAATAACGAAGATATAATTCCTACTTAGCATCTCTTAACGTCCTTCTGAATTCCTCGGTTAATTACAACATCTGAGTGGTAGCAGCATATCCTGTGATAGAGGCCCTCTAAGCAGACATATGCTGCAACTGCAGTTACTGGAATAAGCCTAAAAGCTTAAAGCAATATAATAGTATATTGCTTTAAGCCCGTCCCAGTCACACAGTATTCTGTGCATTAACAACTTTCATGACGAGCGCTTCACATTAGATCACCAGTTACGTCGATACCTGAGGACATTCTTATACATGTGTATAAGTATTTGTTACAAACGACTAGGAAATTAAGTTTCCACCAAAAACTTATAAAGTATAGAAATAGTTAGCAGCAGTCTATTTAGCAGAGTTCAGTGTGTCGGGGAACAATCGTTATGTAGAATGAACCCGAAGAAGATAGACGGATAACAGAACTAGTTATGCTAAATTTGCATGACCGACTATCATATGGTATGCTATAGACATTGCGACGTAACCTTTTACCTTGTGTTATGTTAAAAATACTGCAAAATGTTACAGAATTATAAGTTTTACAAAAGTACATGAGAAAAGTTGGTTACTGACTGAGTAAAATCAGTTCGACAATAAAAATGGCAGTGTATCGTTAACTGTATATGTATGTTGAATATTAAAAGGTGTGCTGGCTAATATAACTGTTTCTAAAGTTACTTATACCAACACAGCTTATTGAAAATTATAGAAAACAGAAAATAAGTAAATTAGTTAAACGTTCGCTGCGTAAGTAGTAGTGTCGAGTTTTACGTAAGCGACTACACTGAAGACTGGACTGGCTCTCATTTACCATTCTACCAACAGTTTTAGATGAGCTAGGGTGGGCATGTTAATGTATCTTTCTTGGCTCCGTTTGAAACAATCGGAGTTTTCACAAGATTTAATTTCAGATGGTAGTATGAACAAGTTGCATTTCACTCTCCTTAATCATAGGGGTTCTGATTTCAGTCGTATACACTTGTCAACATATTCCACTTGTTGATCAAACAGTCAGACATTACCTTATTTGTATGATTGGAAAAGGTTAAATCTGAGTATCTTATGCCAAGATCTGTGACCGTGTTCAGTTTTGAGAGGAGCTAACCGTACATACATAGGTGGATCCTCAGTTTCCAGAGTTCAAGGTGGGCTACACCTCACTTGTCCAGGTTGAAAGTCAGTTGCCGCTTCTCGCCTAGATTGTTTATGTCATGTTGGATCTTGCTTTCGACACTCATATCATTGTGCCCATAACCACATATTATTTTGAGGTCATCTGCAAAGCGGTATGGCTTGTCATACTTGATCACAGAGACTATGTCATTTACGCATAAGAATAATGGAATAGGGCCAAGAACGATTCCTTGTATTACACCACTAGTTATCGGCTTTGATGAAGACAGCTGGTGGTTGATTTCGACTAATTGCTCTCTTTATGTGAGAAAAGAATTTTTCCATTTCAGAAGCTTTCCAGTTATTGCGTAGGATTGCAGGTTTTTAGGAGTCTGATATGTGGGACTTCATCAAAGGCT